CCCCCCCCCCCCCCCCCCCCTGCTGGCTCCCACAATGGGATGGGACGGACATTGGTATTACCATGGGGCTGTGGGGTCCCAGCCTGCAGTAACATTAGAAACCTGGGGGGTATTTCATGTAACAAATATCATCCCTTCCCCCTTCTGGTCAGTAGCAGGCCCTGGAGCCAGAGAACTGGGGGTGGGGCTCAGCTCTCCAGAAGCAGGGAGAAACAGCCTGGAGGCAAGGTCACAGCCTTGGGCACTGCTGGGGGAGAAGCTCTCAGCCCTCGGCACTGCTGTGGGGGAAAGTTACAGCCCAGGGCACTGCTGTGGGGGAAGGTTGCAGCCCTGGGCTCTGCTGTGGGGGAAGGTTGCAGCCCTGGGCTCTGCTGCGGGGGAAGGTCGCAGCCTTGGGCACTGCTGTGAGGAAGCTCGCAGCTCTGACATCCAGGCCGCCAGGAACCGATTCCAAGCCCTCAGCTCTGCAGCTTCATTTGTACCTATGAGCAGGGGATGAATCAGTTTCTTGCATCCTGCCCAACCCCTGCTGGCACTGATATGTGAGGCCCCCGACAGTCCGTGTGTGCTAGAGGGTGAAGGGCAGCTGGGACGGGAGCTGTGGGTGACACTGCTGCTGTGGGCAGTCTCTGCAGAGGTGCCAATTGCACATGGGGTGCCCGGCTGGTGCTCACAGCTGAGACAGAGACACCCCCCCCATCCCTCCTCCTGTTGTGCACTAGGCAGCCCAGCTCAGCCAGTGGATCCCACACACAGGCCCTGCCCCTGCGGGGCAACAGGCGGCCCAAGGCAGGGTGTAGTTCAGGTGTTTTCATGGACAAGTCTCCACCAACTCCTAACTACTGAGCTGAATCTGAGTGAATCTGGTGCTTTGGGGGATAGGAAGATAAATCAAAATGATCTGGACAAGCTGGAGAAATGGTTGGAGGTCAATAGGATGAAGTTGAATAAGGACAAAAGCAAAGTGCTGCACTTAGGAAGGAACAATCGGTGTCACACACAGAATGGGAAGTGACTGTCTAGGGAGGAGCCTTGCAGAAAAGGATCTAGGGGTCAGGAGCACAAGTGAAGTAGGACTCAGCAGTGTGACACTTGCCAAAAAACCAACCATCATTCTGGGACAATTTAAGGGGAGCGTTGTGAGACAGGAGAAGGGATTCTTCTGCTCTGTGTCAATTGCTCCTCAGCTAGAGCGCTGAGCCACATCTCAGGGAAGTGGGGAAAAAGTGGAGAAGGGCCGGAGAAAAGCAACACGACGACGGCAGGTCTGGAGAACTTGCGCTGGGAGGGGAGACTGGCAGAACTGGGCTTGTTTGGTTGGGAAAGAGGAGACATCAGAGCAGATCTCAAGTACCTGCGAGGTTGTTACAGACAGACAAACCCCAAGGGACCTGTGGGCTGGTTTCAGTGTCTGCCCCATGAGTGGGCGAGTTCCCAGGGTGTGAGACTCAGCTAGATCTAGAGGGTATGTCTACACTACCCCGCTAGTTCGAACTAGCGGGGTAGTGTAGACATACCCCTTGTTTTCCTTTATTCCCGTAGCTAGTTTAAGCTCATTTTGTGCCTTTGCCTTTCTGATCTTGCCCTGCATTCCTGTGTTGTTTGCCTGTATTTATCCTTTGTAATTTGTCCTACTTTCCATTTTTTATATGACTCCTTTTTATTTTTAGATCATGCAAGATCTCGTGGTTAAGCCAAGGCGGTCTTTTGCCATTTGTCTTTATTAAACTTCAAGCGTAGCATGGTAGAAAGGCGGTAAAGTAATATTAATATAGAATTCTATTACACTACCTTTTTTCT